GCCCATTACCATCCGATGTCACTCGTTTTTTTCTCGCGAATGAAGTAGTAGCAGTCAGTTTGTACAGTACAGCCGCCTATATGAACAGATGAAAATAGCCAAAAAATCGAACTGCATAACTCGGACATTGAGAACAAAGTGGATCCGGTTGTTTGGAATGCACATCAGAGGAGGAGAAGTTTGCGCACACATCCAGACGGGGACAACATTTATTGGACGACATAGCTGAGTGCGGACGGAATTTGTTTACAACTACGAACCCACCCACCCACACACCATTCACGTGATTCTGCGCACAGGTAGCATGATATCCGGCATAGTGTGAATTGATCAGCTCAAACCGCAAAAGAGATCGAGTGTGTGTGGAATCATTCAACACTGTGTAACACCAACCAGTCTATCAGTTAGACTCGTGCTTGTGCCTGGCATATTACAGACAAACAATCATAAATGCCGCCCGTTCCCTATTTTCGAAAGATCTATGAACAAAAGAAAAGCAGAAAATTTGAGCAAATTGTGGATCAATCAATAATGAAAGTCGTAATTTTCCAAACGAATTCTCTTATGTTCCGCATAAGGACAGTGCAGTTGGCCCAATTGTAAGACCTATGCGTGTATTTAACAATGTAAAAACCAGTGTAATGGATAGAGCGTAAGGACAGCCTTCGGTGCATCACGAACATTCCGATTTTTGATTTATCCGGTTCCACTCACTCTCAAGCACACACACGGAGATTTGCATAAGAAGCAGTGTAAGGAGCGAATCCCCACAATTGAACAGACTAAATCAGTATCATGAACGCAATGTTACCAGAGAAATGGGTAATATTACAGTTGAAGTCGTGAACCGAAGTGGTACAGGCGCATGGCTGCACTCAGAAACCACAACAACAACAACAACACCAACAGCTGAGTTGTCCGATCCTCAACCTAGTTCCACTCGTTGTAACCCCCTGGTCATCTAGTATGAAAATCACACGAGAAAGCCGCGCTTCTTGTTTCCAGTTTGCCACCAACTCCACATTATCCAATTATCCTACTCCACCAGCTGCTTCCTATTTCACTGACAACCGTTTTCTTTCACATATTAGCACAAGGAAAATCCGCCAAATTTTGCGCTTTCTATACACAAACAAAACAAATCACATAGAAATGACGGTATCCAACCCTTTGTCCTCACAATGCGTGCTCCAGAGCTGGCTTCGTTTTGATGTCCCGTTTTCAGTCCTTGTTTTCCAACCTCTTGGAAACACGCCGTGACATTCCTCATTCCCCAAAAGCGGCAACCTTTCCGACCCCAACAATTACCGACCCATTTCAATCGTATCTGTTCTTTCCAAAGTATTTAAAACTATCATCTCGGATCAACTACGCATGTTCCTCGAAAGTGAGGGACTACTGAGCGACCGACAGTGTGGCTTCCGAGAGCGGCGTTTCACCGGTGACTAGCTGGCTATTGTCACACAATCCTAGACAGTTGCACTCGATAACCACGGAGAAACAACTTGGTCTCGCTCTGCATCTCAAAAGCCTTCTAGAACCTATCTTCCTTCAATTTCCTTAAAACACCGTCCATTCTCCCCACATATTTCTTTTGACTCTAATCAGTTGCATTCCACAGACTGTTTCCTTTCTTAGATTGCCTATAACTTATTCTTTGTGATGGTTTCCTTTTATAACTCAGCTTGCTTCTCGTGCTGCGCGCAAGTTTGCTTTCTTTCATTTCGCGCCAGACGCTTTTTCACTCCAGCTCATCTTCTACGGTACAAAGCCCGGAGCCGCCCTACTCTTGAATACTGCAGTCACGCGTAGAGTGGGGTGCGGCGTCGTCTACTTCTCTTTCCCTAATCAATGATCCTTCTATAACATCCAGTCACTAGTCCATCGTCGGGCAGTTGTTTCATTGTTCCCGTTCTATCGTCACTACTTCGGCTTGTGATCTTCGTACCTTGTCTCAGCAGTTCCTCTTCCTGCAACTTTTATCCGCTCATCTCGTACACAGGCATCTAGTCATCCTCATCAGACTTCAGTTCCCATATTTCGTGCTCCTCTGCTCCAATCTTCATC